TAACGACATCAAATAAAAAAAACAGCGAGGGCCAAGAATTATTAGTGCATCAGCCCCAGTCGCTACAGCTTAGTGTAGACCAGTTGGATATAGACATCCTACCCCTTCCTAAACCCTCCCGAGTGTCTCAGTTGAGCCAATCGGTCCCCTCCCTCGTCTTTAAACGGTTAGCTCTTCAGGTGCAGGCTCTCCATATAGCACTTTATATTGCAGTCATTTTAAAATTAAGATCATTACAATTTACCTTTCTTTGTAAAAATAGATCCCCATGGCCTGTCAAAAAGGGGACCCCTCTCACCAGTAAATATTGGAAATGACAGCCACAAGAGAGCTCACCCAGCTAGCCCTAGTAATGCGAATAGTCCCACGGACTCGGTATAAGTACCGCGCATTCGGAGGCTGAAAACAAACGTGGGAAAGGTACTGAGCTTGTTTCCATCTCTACCGTCTATCAAAGGCTCAAGCGGCTCCACGGCAACGTGCGGATCCAGTTGGAGCGAGCGAAAAATTAAAAGCAAAGTCCTTTTCCGAAAAGAGCTATCTTCGCTAGACAAAGAGTTCTGCTGACTTTTTGGGTTTTTTCCCCCTTGCATTTGACTTCGGCACTGGAAGTCTGGCTTTGAATCGAGATATCTAGGTCACCCCACTGGTAATCTGATTGGATGAGAAAGATTTCATTAAGATAGGTCAATGGAACAAAATGTTGTCACGGGATAGCGGTCTCGTAACACGTGAGCAACGCCCCGGCGAAGACCGAGTAATTCATCAGAAGCGCTGGAGGGAGATTCCAGCATCTATTTAGGAAGCGGCGTGCGCTTTTCCAGTGGCCAGTCTTTTAATTTCTGTTCTGCCTAACAGACGGTTAACGGGGGAAGCGTGCAACAGTGCCAGGGCTCTGTGACCAAAACGCAGGCTGCCGATTGGCTCGTGGCGATTCGGACCGTTAAGAAACAATTTTAGGCACAGAAAGACAACTCCAAATCCAAACACACAACAAGGACAACAAGGCGGTTTGCGATTGGGCGCAATCCTGAACTTTCACACCCCATAAAGGGCAGCCCTCCAGTATCTCGCTGGCAAAGGATCACTCCCGGCTGGCATCAAATGGGCATGGGTGGGTTTGAAGGAGCCAGGAAACAAAAAACCAGCAACTTCCCTTCCCTGAAACACTGAGGGCATCCAACAGCCAAGGTCTCAAACTAAGCAGCATGGGCAGCCAGACACCCAAAGAGCTGCCCAAGGATTTGGACTCAGTTTCTTGGCATGCAACTTTCCAAGGGCCTGGAAAAATAAAGAGCATGAAACAACCGCAGAGCAGGCGGGTGGGTGGGTGGCGGGGGAGATTCACCAGGCTCTGGGGACAGAGCTGGGGGTCAAGGCTGAGCTGCTGGGGAAGGGGAAG